GCCCTCAAAAATAGCATTACCCTTATATGAGCACTGACCAAGTCAGCGAGTCTGACCACCCGATCCCGTTAGTCGCCTCGTACGACAAGCGTGGGATACTGAAGACCAGTTCTAACCCGGATCTTCACGGGTACATTTCTTACTGGTACCTGTGTCCTCGCCAGGAGTCCCCACAGGTATGACGGAGAGGTAAACGAGGTAAACTGTCCAACAGTCGTAGCGCTACGATCGCTTTGTGAAACAAGTCCCAGATATATATGTAAAGCTTACACAGCACAATATGCATGTTCAACGAGGCAGCGTGTCGCATGTGATAATATGATACAGGCGCCATCTGGTGTCAGTTATTGGTGGTTGCAGAACCTATGGGCCATAAAAGACGTAGGTCCTATAAGTAGTGGCATGTGCTGTACTGAATGTTCAGCCCATGAATGTATTATGAGTGAGTCAGTATGGTTTTGCGACGCTTTTAGCAATATTCCAGCAATATGACGGCGGGGGACACGTGAAATGGGCTTCACACATTGTAGCCATGTGGGGAATCGAACCCGGGTCTTTAGCGTGACGAGCGGACGCTTTAACCATTAGGCTACCCCACCACCTCGGATGTATAGTAATTCTATAATTCTTTAAATAGGCATGTGTAGACAAACGAACAGTATAAGGATGCCATGTCTGTTAGAGGGTCAATATGTTAACTTCAGTAATATTTTTAAGAAATCATTTAAACTATTAAATATTACCCTAGAGACATGTGCAAATCGATTTCGACCAGAGACAACTCTTTAGTGACTGTTTTTTAAAAGGAAAATTAATTCATAGACTAGATGTCAGTCTACCACCTGGCAGGTGAACGCAAGTGGGTTCAGCCAAGACAGTCATCTGTTGGAGAACATCCCCACCCACCCCACCCCCTCCCGCCCTCTAATACGACCACCACCCCATCCATGGGCAAGAGCGTCTTATGAGGACGTCTATCTTGGTCGCGGCGTCCCTCCAGTCAAGCTGCAGGAGCCGGTGTACGCCGTGGATGTCGTCTCGTTGGTTGGTGGCCCACGTCTCCAGCATCCCAAGGTCAGCGGTGAACCCGTCAGGCAGACTGACAAAGTTACCATGGTCAAGTGCGTGGGTGGTGTACATAGGTCAGACGTCTGCATGGAGGCAATGTCTTCAAGCACGGTCTTTCCTGCAGGCTGCAGTGCTCCCCAATTTTGTCCACACAGTCGAGAACGAATGGCCTGTGTTTCACCTGGCTTGACAAGTCCATGCACATTGTCTCCATGTGACCTCTCGTTCTCTTCTGTCAACTTCCTTGTGATCCATTTACGCCTACAACATCGAGCATTCCACGTGCTCGAACTGTCCACTACCCAAAGACCTGGCAACATCCGGAATTCAACGTGATCAAATTGTCCAATTTCCAACGACCTTGCAACATCAGGAATTCAACGTGATCAAATTGTCCACTGTGTTACGAGTTGACAATATTTTGGATTCAACGTGATCAAATCGTTGACTGCCCAGATATGTGACAGCCTCTAATATTCCACACGATCAAACTATAAATTACAGCATGTAGGAAGACAAATTAAACTATAAATTACCCAGAAGTCTCAAGCATTCCACATGATCAAACTGATATATTATCGACAATCTGACAGCCGCAACGATTCCACATGATCAAACTGTCCATTTATTATTATTAACGGTCTGACAGCATCTAGAATTCAGGTGATCAAAACGTCATCTGTGATAGGCCTACTCTGTTTCTAGTACATACCCCATTCACATTCTTTTCCTCGCCCTTTTTATTAATATTCTGTTTATTACCGAAGTCATCAAATTCAGGAAATAAATCCAAATCTACTTTCAAACATATACTGGCTACCCGCCGTCTCCGCATTTAGAACGCAACGTCACAGAAGAAACGCGACGTAATAGTGATATTTTGCCCTAGGGCATCGTATGAAAAATATTAACCACGATATTTTCGCCCTCGTAGGTAATAAATATCGGATATTTAGACTAACATGTTTTCTATGATCGTTTTATTACCCATGTGGTCAACGTATGGGTAGTTGCATACTAATCTCGTACGTCACACGAGTGTCGTATCGCGCTGACCTGTATCGTAACGACTTGACCTGAGATTCTAACGATTTAATTGGATAACCGATGACCTCTCAATTAGGTCACATTCTGACGGAACTGTTTTTTCATTCATAACAAACACGTGAATTCATTCATTCTACAACTTAAATGCATTGTGGGAATGTAAACCTTGCGAACGTTTCCGTGTCGCTGTTTAATTGTGAGTCGAACTGAGACATTATATCCGTCGAAAGACATAGACGCAATGTTTCCACCAGTGATGTAGCCGAATAAAGAAACGGGGTGCTACGGGGTAGTTTACTGTAGGAGGCTGCACGAGGCGATGACAACTGACATGCATCCTGACGTCGGTTACCAAGGCAGTGACGTCATTACAATGTGACGTCATGCAAATATTGTACTACAGTACAAAACCTTTCCGCAACCTCTTTATGAAACCGGTTTCGGTTTGAAACCAAAAAATAACAAAAATACGCTATGTTGCCAGTTTAATACATGTAAGACGTGGGTAATAAATAAAATACCACACTCGGTCTCACTACATACGAATTATACGAAACTCGTGACCTTCCTACCTTTGGCTCGGTCAGATACCATAGGAAGGACACTCGTTTCGTATAATTCGTATGTAATGAGACCTCGTGTAGTATTCTCTATTTATTAAACAGTACAATTAACTACACTTAAAAATGTTCACCTGCTCATTTCATATTTCTAATTTTCTTCCAGACATGCATTATTACATCCCTGATTATTTTTGGTTTAACAAAATACCTACATTCCACAGTCTTGGTGCCGGGCTAGTGGATGTTATAAATGCGTTGTTAATCTGTGTACCACGTATATCTGACGTTCTGTTTGCTTGACCTAAACACATTCGCAATTTGTTGACGCCCTTGCCATACTGACAGTGAGTGAGTTAAGAATACATTATACTCCTGCAGCACGGCGACAAAGGAATCTACATTACAGCAACAGGCAAACAGTGTGTGAAATACGAACCCATTGGAACCCTATAGGAAGTATGAATATTACATAATTCGTCTTACATGTGTGTATTGTCACTACTTGTTTTCAAGGGCAACAACATGTCAACTGCTCATCTGAGATTTCATATCTGTGACTTGTTTGATAAAACACATCGTGCTGTGACAGCATACTGATTTTCCGCCATGTCTGACAGTTGCTAATTGTTATTATAATTATCACCCGTGAAGGTCCGGGTTAGAATGATCCTTCAGTAACCCATGCTTGTCGTAAGAGGCGATTAACGGCATCGAGTGGTCAGGCTCGCTGGCTTGGCTGATACTTGTCATCGGTTCCGAATTGCGCAGATCGATGCTCATGCTGTTGTCTGTTCCAGACTCGATTATTTACAGACCGCCGCCATACAGCTGGAATATTGCTGAGTGCGGTGTAAAACTAAACTCACTCACTCACTATTATAATTATCCATAAATAGTCTAATAATTGTACAAGATTATAATAGTCTTAAAGGCATTCTCGGCTTAATTCAACCCACGCCCAAACACCTACTACAAGAATATTACATACGCGTTTTGAGAGAAACAGGGGAGATCGATTTAAGTCGAAAAGGAGCCCCCGTGAGATGAGAGATTCAGACTTGCTTCATAGAGAGCGTTTACCTCACAGGCAGTGCTGGGTTAACGGGGAAATAATATGGTTCAGGGACTGTGAGACCGACTAAGCGGTTTATATACAATTCAATGGGATTGAACTGACTCGAGGTTGAAACATTAATCCATACGGAAAATGCTTGAAACTATACCTAAGTTTAGAAATTGTATATCAAACTGTTCTAGAAGTGCTGATGTGTGTTCAATTCCCCAAATGGTTAGTATGCTTGAAGCCCATCTCTGGGGCCCCCGCCATGTTACTGCTAGAACTCTTTTAAATTGGTGTAAAACTATACCGTTAACTCACACTCACTGTCCCGAATTTATAGTTAATTCGATTTGCGTTATTGACCTCGAACTTTCACTGCATAGCGACAAAACGTTATCCAAAAATACCATTTATCTACACATCGTTTATCTTCACGGTATCTACCCATACATAAGATTTTCTTTTTTAATATAAAACTCGTGTTTTTCAACATTTTGTTTCTCTTGTGATGTTTGAGATGATGTAGCTTCGTGGTTAATGTGTCTGCTCGTCACATCGGAAGCCCGGTTCGAATCCCAAAGTATCTACAGCCTGAATTCTACACACCTCGTGTCATGTATCTCAACATTATCATTATTTATCTCATTAATTGTGTTGAGCTCTACGTTTTATTATTTTGCTACATTGTTATTTGCATATATTGTTATCTCGACATAATCTTCCCTTAAACCTTTCAGCGGCAAGCAGCAAGACTCAGCTGACCATAATTGAGTTTCTCCTATGCTACTTGTCGGGAATACACACAAGTAAATTGTAAAAGCATTAAAAATGCAACTTCCTCCCTGTAACCCGACTAAACAAAATAACGCAAGAAATGACTCCTTTTCCTAAATATTTCAGCTCCGATGGTGTATAGTTAATATTCCTCAAGAAGCTATTTCCAGCTCCATAATCCGCGACGCCCATAAGTGGTATAATTTGTGAATTTAGATGCATGGGTGTGCGGTGCAACATCGGGCGTTACGTGCCTGGCGTACGTGTTCCTTCATTAGGTAGGAGGTGTTTTGGCAGTGTAAATTATATTTCTTCCTTTCCCCCTTTCCCGTAACCTGTGCACTCGAATTTTCTCTTACGTATCCTGTGTTAATTTATGTACAACCGTGACCCAAAATACCGCCTCTCTTCAGACAATGAACGCCTGAAATTAAACAACGAAACCCTAATATGATTTATGAGGCTGTAAGCGCGTATGTCAAGAGTCGACGCTCGGATCAAGTGGTTGCTATCGCAAGGAGTGAAGGGAGGTTAGCATCAACAATGGCGTAGACGCAGTCAGCGAATGGTGATGACGTTTCCAGCTTTGCCCAAACTCCCGCTATCCCATGTGCTACTCTGAACCTTGCCCAATAGCGCTAACCACCACCACGATAATTGAATTTTACGAGTATCGATCCCTTCGCGCCATTTCAGCGAGGTCGTCTGCTCGCGAGAGTCGCCATCACATCTGCTTCGTGACAGCATTTCATCACAGAGTGACCGACTCTAGGAGCGAGGAGTTGTGCAAAGAGAGTTCCATTCATCCATTCCTGAGCGAGGCGGGAATACATTAATATATCCAGCAAAATGTCGGTAAGTACAAAGCCAGTCAGCACGTATATAGTGGTTGTAGCGTCGATCTGGAATAACCTCTGTGTATTTGTCAATCTCACAAGTAATGCG